CTATGGTTATGTTTTTTAAACCTCCAGATATCTAAACTCTTTTCCGAAATATGATTATGAACAGTCTGTTGTATTTATAACCAGAATTTTTCTCATACATATATATGCAACTACTTTAAAAAATGAAAATGGCATAATATACATACATATGGTATAATATATATACTGTGGCTTATTACTAGTTTGCTTAATGCTTCAATAGGCAACAATCCACGAATTTAAAAGGTATGAAAGTCTAAGCGGATGTGCAGTTATTATGTCTCTCTCCCTCCCTTATTCTCAGCCATTCAGCACCACTTCTTGAAGTTCACAACCTTCACCAGCTTTTTGCATCTTATTAACATATATGCCTAGCTACCCTTTTATTTCCATACTCTCTGTTCTGCAACTTCCTCACTAACTTCACTAAATATCTCTCAGATATTTCCATATTCATACATAAGAAGCTGTTTCATTTTTTAAAAGTGCTACAGAGAGTGTCATTGAATGGAGTCCTCAAGTTAATGTAATACGAACTATTTTGTAACCAGTTCAATGACTTAAAATTATACTATCTTTCTGTGTCAGCAAATCTGGCGCTATATTATCATTTGTTGTGAATGCTCAACCTGCTTCTCTATAAATGCACTGTCATTAATTTAACTGATCCCCTCTGGATTGAAAGCTTGTGTTGCTTTCTACTTTGTCACGGTGACTTTTAAAGCAAACAATGTCCGTTAATGAGCTTTTTGGCATTATCCATCGGAAGCCTGAGAAATAGGTATATTCTTTATTCCAGAAATTCCACTTCTTTTTTATTTTTTGATTTATTTATTTATGCATACAGAACTGGGGTATAGGCCAGAGGTACGAGGTGGGGATGGTGAGAGGATTCATCAAAGACAGAGTGGGGAGCAGAACAAGCAGATGTACTGAAATACACTGCTGAGGGGAGCAACGGGGAACGGTCAGGACAGGTCTGCTGTGCCATGTGGGTCAGCTCCCTCATGGGGGTTTGAACTCGTGGTA